AGAGTTTTAAGGGACCTTTGAGGTCTTCTAGTCCAACCCTTTGCTCAAGCAGGAAACCCTATACTAGGAGGGTCAAACTCAATTTCATTGAGGGCTGCATCAGGGTTGTGTTTGACCTTGGGGGTGGAGTGGGTGTGGCCAGGGTGGGTGTGGCCAGCTCAACGTCACTTATGTTGGGGGTGCCTGTGGCAGCCAGAGCACCCTGCCAGCAAAAATGGGCTCCTGAACTCCGTTTTTGGCTGCGACGGCCTCCTGCAACCCTCTGCCAGCAGAAATGGAGCTGGGGAAGTCTGCATGCAGCCCTCGCATGTTCCATTTTCAGCTGCGATGGCCTCCTGCAACCCTCTGAGAGCGAAAATGGAGCTCAGGAGGGAAGGCCTTGGGCCGGTCCTTCACTGTTTCCAGGGCAGCCCCTGGGCCTTGAGTTTGACACCCTTGCCCTGTACCATTTCAGACAAATGGTTGTCCAATCTTTCTTAAAAACCTTCAATACTTCTTTAAAAAGTGTTGGAGCACCCACAATTTCTGGAGACAAGTTGTTCCATTGATTAATTTTTCCAACTGTCAGGAAATTTCTCCTTAGTTCTAGGTTGGTTCCCAGCTTGATTAGTTTCCATCATTACTTCTTGTCCTGCCTTCAGGGACTTTGGAGAATAGATTGACCCCAGTGATGAAATCCAAATATTTTTACTACTGGTTCTGTGGGCGTGGCTTGGTGGGCATGGCAGGGGAAGGATACTGCAAAATCTCCATTCCCACCTCACTCTGGGGCCAGCCAAAAGTGGTATTTGCCGGTTCTCCGAACTGTTCAAAATTTCTGCTACCGGTTCTCCAGAACCTGTCAGAACCTGCTGGATTTCACCCCTGGTTGATCCCCTTTTTATAACAGCCCCTTAGTTATTGGAATATTGCTATCATATCAGCCATAGTCCTTCTTTTCATTAACCTAGACATATCCAATTCCTGCAACTGTTCTTTGTATGTTTTAGCCTTCAGTCTCCTAATCATCTTCTTTGTTCTGAGGAAATAGAAGCTAAATGAAGGGTCAATATCTTCAGAAAAAAAAGTAGCAATGGGACCAGGGAAAGAAGCTACTTTGGGGGATATTCCAGGAAGTAGTTAAGAGCCATATAAAAGAACTATGTTTGAGTGTTGTCTTCAGTATCAGAGTGAATAATAGTGAACAGTGTGAAAGCATAAGGTTATTCTCCTGAAGTATTTTCCTGCTGGGTTTCACCCTTGGGCTCTAACAAAGGGAGAAGGCCTGCTTGATTCACTGAACAATTTCTTTCCTGATAAATTGGCCACCTTCTCTTTATCCATGTTGGTTGAGATGCCAACAGTCCTTTGCATAGCCCAAATTGCTCTCTCCCTTTGTTAATCATCAGTTGTGGAAATCTACTCAGATTAAATGCTGCAGGTTTATAGAACTGCTGCAGGTCTGTAGAACCGCTGTAATAAAAACATTGGCCAGGGAATCATCCTGTGCATTGTATTGAGATAGGGGCTTATATTATTTGTGCTAATGTTAATGAAAAAGAAACCAATAAGGCAGAACAAGGCTGAGCACTCTGATAATCCTGCTAGATTGAGGAGAAAATATTCACTTTATAAGGTGTATCTATCTTAAACATGACTGCAATGAAAGAAAATGAAACTCTATTTTCAACACTTACTAAAAAGAGAAGTACAATTACATATGTATTATCATTTCTGTTGCCTTTTTGTCAATGATGTTTGAGACTTTTTTTTTTTTTTTGCATTAAGCTTTGCAAGGCAGAAATGCAAAAATAAATAATTCCCAATTAAATTGTTTTCAGATACTTGGTATTGTGGCCCTCCATGTTCTATGGCAGGTGATAGCCGCAGGAGTATAAACATATTAGTTTATGCATATAACCCAAATAAATAATCAATGCTTGTCACTAGCAATTGTTTTAGGCTTTCTAAAAGATGCCACTATAATCAAGTATTATTATATATTTTCATTAAGAATTCCGGAATAAAGTCCTTCTAGCATGAATGAGAAAGGAAATTAGGATTCCCAGTTCAATACATTGCATTATTTCTTAATTTGGCTGGTTTGTGATTTGTCTTGATATTTGCACATTTTTACATGGATGGATAATCTTCTACAAAATCTAACAAAATGCACATAAGCTATTTTGTATGGGCAAAGATCTCAGAGCAAGGCAGCTTTTTCTAGAATCTAGATGAATATATTCATTTGATTCAAAAGAAAGGAGAAAAAAGTTGATATAATCTAGCCGATTGCTGTAATGAACATTGTGTGCATTGTTTGGAATATAAGATCCTTCCCCACCAAAATCTACAAAACTATTTGTTTCCTCATACAACAGTGATTTCGTCTACATATATTGGTTACTTGATTCCATAGTTGGGGGAGAGAAAGGAACTCCACTCTCTCAATAATAGTTCTTTCCTCCTTGTTTCATTTTTTTTTCTTCCTAGTGATCAATTGGCTGTACAAGGCAGACTATCAAAATTTGATCCTACAAAAGGATTTTTTTAGAAGAAGCAGTAAGGCTGGTAGAGTTCTGCAATATTAGGGTTTGAAGAATGAGAAGCATTCATTCAGATTGGGAAAGAACTAACAAATCCTTACCATGGTTTTCTGTTTATTTGAGGGGGTTGACTTTGTCTCACACTGAATTCAGATGGTTAGGATGGACCTGTATGGCTAAGAAGCAATGAAAATTCAAGAAAATGGCCAGTGTAGATATCACTAAGGGTCTAGAAAAACACACCATGGTCAACTCACCTGTCATAGCCCTTTTGGAGCCTGAATCTGTGGGGGAAGATGAGCTGGAACAGGAACCGACAGAGATCAAGGGGGGCAGCTCTGTTGGCTTTGGAGGAAACTGGGGAAGGGCAGAGCCAGTCAGACTCATAAAAGAGTCAGGCTTGGTTTTGCCGCTTGAGTGTATGAACTTCCTTTTAGATATTCTTACACACTTTTTTTGGGGTGGGGGTGTCTGTGAAACAGTGTTGATTCCTGGTGACTGCCTGCGTAAGTTCCTGCAGTTTTGTTGGAAACAGTTTCCATTATCTCCTTCCTATTCAATCCTAGGGCTGAGAGAGAGTACCTGGTCCAAGGCCATCCAGCTGGTTGCAGCACCTGAATTCATAATTTTCAGATTTTTAGCCTAGTGCTTACCTAGTGCCTACCACACCAAACTGGCTTTTTCTTATGTGACAAAAGTGCTCCAAATGCTTTGCTATGTTTTTGTGTAAGTCTGTATTTTCATTAAGAATATGAAGATATGTGTAGCTTTGAACATGCAAAAGCATGCACAAATAGATAAACTAAAGGGGAGGAAATTCAAAGGGAAAGATCTAAAAATGTAAAAAGGAAAGTTCATGCTATAATTAAGTTTTTTAATGTCTCTTTTCTTGTATTGTAACTATTCATAATTTATAGTAAGATAATAAGTAAATAAACACTGTTAAGCCTGAATTTGACTGGGGTGTGGGATTGTTTGTATCACTGGGTATTCTGACATGAATTCAGTTTGACATAGTTTGAAGCTGGAGGAGGATAGAGCCTTCAGTCAATACATCATCCCTAGTCAATGAATCAACCACATTCCAATGACTGTTTGACCTCAGGGGGAGGAAAGAAGTCACCAAGCAACCAGTTCCTATCTTGGTTGGACAATGTGACAGTTTGTTTAGGAAACTGAAACTTATATTGGGGTGAAAAGCCTGGGAACTTCAATACTGGCTTTTCACCAGTAACACCAAGCTGATGTATCTAAATGAATTTGTTCTTTGAGGAAAAGCAATTCCTCAAAGTTCGATTTGTAATGGGTGCATTACTTGGAGCCTGACAAAGACACTGGACTGGAGATTAAACTTGCTACCATTATTCTTGAATTCTCTTTATTACATATTTTCTTTCATGTCCAACAACTAATGGAGAACTACTTAGTTGGTTGCCTTTGAAAATAATTATCCAATAATAGGTAACTACATGTACCAAAAAGCTATTTAATTTTTTTATTTTGTACTGTCCAGAAATCCTGAAAAAATAAACTAAACTAGTGTTTAATCCCTCTATGTTTTTTATCCTTTATCATTTTTCAATGGTGAGAGGAAAATACATGAACGTAATGACTGACTATAGACGTTTGACAAGAGTAATAGATATCTTAGCAGAGACAATGTTTTCAGGACACTAATAGGATTCACTTCTGATCATTGCCATAATGATTACAGAATGAACAACTGTTACTCACTGATTTCTGCAGGCAAACAGTCCTTGAAAGTGACAATGTGATTTTTTTTTCCAATTATACATAAAACAAATTCCGTTGAAACCAATGGAAGCTATTTTCAATCTTTATGTGGTTGGAAAAGTTGAAAAGTTAATAAATTATATATTTTCATCCTACAAACTTGGAAAGAAATGGATGGAAAGTACAAGATTATCTGAATCTTGTGGGCTATATTTGGTTTATGGGTCAAATGTTTTTATGCTTTCAGAGTTCTCATTTGCTAATTCAATTAATTTGCTAAATTGACTTTTTTATTTAATTTTTTAAAAAAATCCTAGTATAATAGACATGCTTTAAAAAGTAAAACTGGGATGTTATATCAATGTTTATTATGCATTTCAGAAGTTCCCCTGGCTAATTTACTTAGTTCTCCTGATTTAGTAGAATATTTGTTGAAAAACAATTAAATAATATTTCCCCAGGCTCTGTAAAGAAAAATGTAGAATAACACTGTAATTTTCCAATGACTGAGCATGATCTACACTGAAATGAAAAGAGCTGAATTTTTAAAGAGTAATTTGTCCTGCATGAGCAGGGGGTTGGACTAGATGACCTCCAAGGTCCCTTCCAATTCTGTTACTGTTAAAAGTCCTTATTTCTGTAAAGAGTAACTAATATAATTCATTTTGCATAAATTACTAGCTTATACCCATATTCAAGCATTTATTTGAAATTAAGTTTCACCATGTACTTTTTTACAAGCTATAGATTCAGAAAGCAAAAATGAAATTTGGACCTCTACAAGAGCAAGAACCATGGTCTATGGACCTTCAATTGTCCTAGGTACCTATCCAGTGTCATAGAGTTCTCCAAATGAATGGACATTCAGCAATACAATTAGCAAGGCCATATTGGTATGTTTATATTGAATTTAAAGCCTTTGGGATACCTTGGAAATTCTCTGTACTCTTCTTTTTTTATTTATAGTCTGCACATAAGTATGCTCTCCACCTTAGAATAGCTCTGTTGATCAAAATGTGCTTTGATGTGGGGGTAATATTTTCCACTTTATAATTTCTTATTTCCTACTCATGACTTTATCAAAGATCCTGTAACCCCCAATATAGAAACAAAGATCACTTTTTTCAAAGAAAAGTATATATGTTTGCAGTAATTCTTACCATATACAGTATAGGTAGTTCTTGTTTAGTGACCACAAGTAGGACCAGCAACTCAATTGTTAAGCAAAGTGGTCAATGTGAAATTTCAATTGTGCTTTTGATCTTGTGCTTCAACTTTCTTTTGTAATATATAGGCCTGCAAAGGTTATAAACTTTGGTTTCAAAGCTACATTTTCATCATTGTCCTAATTGTAAACTGCTACTGTACAAGGCAGTCACTAAATGAGGACCACATTTTTTTAAAATACATAAAGACAATTCAGACCTATTAATGACAAGTGTGTGGTTGTATTTCAGTGACTTGCATTCCAGATTCATACAGTGAAGTAGCATGATGCAATGAAAGATTTATCTCTTCCATCTGTCCAAATAAAGTAGCTTTCTACACTGAAGTAATGCCATATGTGTATCAGTGAAAATATTTTTTATACATTTTTATGTTTATGGCATAAGTCATCATCAGTTTTGCTAGCCTAACCAATTGTACTACACTCTGATGCTTTCTATTGGCCAGTGAAGTAACTCTGACTTATGCTATTCATTTCTCATTTACAACTGGAAATATCGGTAGAGCAAAAGGAATCCAATTCACCACAAACAGAAGCTGTGTCTGCCTTTTCTGTGTCTACCATATTTAATTGCATTCTAGGCAACACCTTCCCTCCATCTGGACATTGTGCATTGTGGGGGAAAGCACTATCTCTCTTCCCATCCATGGTAGCTATCCTGTATGTCCATTTTATCCTGGGCTGCCTAGCAGGTAGCCTGGAAATACTTAGTTTTAAAAATTAAAGGTAGACAGTACCTAAAACTGCACTGTCTGGTCTCTATTCCTTTTTACTCACAATTGTAAATACATAGTGATCCATGCCAGTTTAGAATCACAATATTATCTTCTATTTAACTTGCTTTTGGGGGGGGGGATTGTCAGGGCGTTGATTAATCCCATGTTTGGCTCTGGGACAAATCACCCTGGTTAATTAGAGGATGGATCGTGGCTCCTCCTTGTTGCAATATTCTGAAAAGAAACGCAAAGAAAAGTTTCTAATAAAACTCATTTATTTGTTATAAAGAAAATAAAACACCTCACTAACTAAGAAAAGTAATTGCTACATTTTTGAAATAGCTTTTTGCCGGCTATCTCTCAACCGGACCTTGCTGCAAAGAGAACAAAGGAAAGGGTGTGTGAAGCAAGTGAAAGAATGCGGACATGCGTAGTAAAATACTGATAAGGAACTTGGCAAACTGCAGTAAGTCTATTAGTCCAAAAATAATGAAGCTCAGCTGGGAAATAAAAAAACGCAGTGACATTCCCCTTCTTTGCCAGTTGAGCGAATATCAGTACATCATCAAATAAGGCACATCTTCTTACGCAGATACTCATGTCAAGCTGCTGGAAGTGGTTTGTTGAGCATATCAGCAATTTGATCATGTGTAGATACATATTGCATTTTAACAAAACCTTTTTTCACTAAATGCTTTATGTTTTGATAACGAATGTCAATGTGTCTGGACCTAGAACCTGTAAAATGAGATTCAGAAATATAAACCACCGATTCATTGTCTTCCATCACGGTGATCGGTCGGATCAGGTGTGTCCAGATATCTGTGACTAAAGCATCAAACCAAGTTAGAGAATTACATGCATCTGAAACACAAGCATATTCAGCTTCAGTAGATGAACAAGAAACAAAATTCTGTTTACGTACTTGCCAATAAACAGGACATCCATTTAAGAACATCATATAACCTGAAGTACTTTTACGTGATTTCTTATCACTTGCCCAATCAGAATCTGCATAACAACATAATTCTGCATAATCAGTATGTGTTGGTTCTAACAATAACTTCAAATGTTTAGTGTATTTTAGGTATCTCAATAATTTCTTAATACATGTCCAATGAAACTGTTTTGCCTTACCTACGTGTCGAGATAAGAGATTAACACTAAGTGCAATGTCGGGTCTGGTCCAACTACTAATGTATAACAGTGACCCAATGACTGAACGATAAAGTGTTTGATCCTCGAACTCAGGACTTGCTTCTTGTGTCAAGTTATGAAAATCTGTTTGCATGGGTGTGTTTGTTGTGTTAGCATCCTTCATGTTGCAATGATGCAAAATTTGTTCAATTTTATCTTCTTATGAAAGACTAAACCCCTTCTGTGTTTTTTCAATCTGAACACCTAAATAAGTGCTAATGTGACCTAATGATTTCAGTGTGAAGTATCTCTGTAAAGCTTTGGCAAAAATTTCACTCATTTGCTTATTTGGACCAATATAAACAATATCATCAACATAAACAATGCATCTCATATGCATTGTTAGATCTTTTTGTGAACACGCACTCATCAGTTTCGGACTTAATAAAGCCCATTGAATTTAGTTTGTCAGTAAGACATAAATACCACATTAAACCAGATTGTTTCAGACCATAAAGACTTTTGTTTAAGAACCAGGTATCCCCTTCTTGCTGTCGGAATCCTGGAGGACTTCTCACGTAGATCTCTTCATCTAGGTCTGCATGTAGATAAGCCGTGTCAACATCGAACTGGAAAACTTCTAAACCAAGGATAGTTGCAGTTGCTAAAGCAATTTTTACACTCTCAGTTCTGACTGTCGGTGAGTAGGTATTTGTGTAGTCCTCAGGATAATGTTGAGCGAAACCCTGAGCTACAAGTCTGGCCTTGTACAATGACTCACCATTTGGCTTCTTTTTGATTCTGTAAACCCATCGAGTGTCAATGACCTTTTTGTTTGCTGGAGGTTTTGCAGGTGTAAATACTTTAAGTTTCTTTAGACTGTCCATTTCAACCTGCATTGCATCATACCATTTGTCTTGCTCTGAATCAGGGAGCTGCTTGATTTGCGTGAAATTATCAGGTGGAAGTGTAACATTGCAAATCAAAGGCAAGGGTGCTTTTGTCAGTTGCCAAGAATATCGTTGTGGAGGGATCCCTTTTGTGGCCCTCTTGGAACGTCTCGGGACAACTGTCCAATCTTCTTCTGGTTCGTCTTCGTCCTCACTTTTGTCGCTAGCGTCAGCATCCGCGGCTTGCGAAGACGGAACATCGGGTTGAGAAGAATCAGTGGAATCTTGATCATCAATCTGTGTAGGATCAGCAGTATCATCTCTAGGAAAATAAACTCCAGGATCATTGGAATGAATCCTGGACCAGTCAATATCTTCTTCAAAATTAGCAGATTGGGAAGTCACAATTGCATGTTTAGAGTCAATAAATTTGCTCCATTTTGAGTTATCATCAATACCCATAAATCTCAGTCTCTTTGCTGTTGGACCTCCTTTTCTTCTTTGAGCTAAGGGAATGTTCACCATAGCGTATGAACCAAAAATATGGATGTTTTTAAGATCGGGCTTGTAGCCATACAACATGAAGAAAGGAGTCTGATTTGTTACACTGCTCCAAGTATGGTTGACAATGTAATTTGCATACTTGATAGCTTCACCCCAGTATATCTTACCAAGGTTGGCGTCTTCTAGGAGACAACGCATCATGGTTTGCAGTACCCCTTGTCTTCGTTTTGCGACTCCATTATGAGCTGGTGTGTAAGGGGCCGAAGTCTGATGAATAATTCCATTCTTACGCATCCAGTCCTGGAAACGCTGAGACATGAATTCGGCACCACGATCACTCTGGATTCTGGCGATGCGAACTTGGTGTTGGGTAGAAACAAGGGTTGCAAAGTCTTTAAAGATCTGAAAGGTCTCTGATTTTTCTTTCATAGGATATACATATCCATATCTAGAGTACTTATCAACAATTGTTAGAAAATATTTTCTACCACCAAATGATGACGGGAATGGACCAACTATGTCAATGTGAACCAAATCAAAAATGCGTGTTGACAGGCGTGTAGCATGTTTGGGAATGGCTGATGCTTTGGATTTGGCCTTTTTGCAGACAGCACAATCCAAAAACACCTTACACCCCTTTAGATCCAAACCTTTTGCGAACTCCGGCATCTTCCTAAGAACACGGAAACTGGCATGCCCCAATCTTCTATGCCATTTGTGGATACACCTAGAATGCAAAGGTTTACCTGTTAGTGAATTCTCAACATTAACATTTTTATGCGGAACCTCAGGCTTGCTCTGAGCAACCTGTTTACCAACTCTATTTTTGTTGGCTTTAGGAGCCTTTGGAATAGCAACAGGATCTCTCTCTGGAGCATCTCTCTCTGGGCCTGTGCTCTGCCTTTTTGGAGTTTGCATACTTGCCTGTGTTTGCGTTTTAGGCTTTGGCTTTAAGTAATAAACACCACCAATTAATATGGCTCCAGCAACAATATCTCCATCTTTAACTATATAACTTGCATTTTCAAGGTGGTGAACCTGAAATTTTAACATTCTAGACAAGTGACTCTAACTAAGCAAATTACTGGTTGCTGTTGGTATGTAATAAACATCAGGAATGAATGCATCGAGCTCTTCAACATAAACAGTTCCTTTTCCTTTGACCTGACAAGGATGATTTGAAAAAGAATAAAGTTCACGTAGTTCAGGTTCAGGCTCGTGCATTTCTGTGAAAAGTTCCTTTCTGTAGGTAACATGCAATGCTGCACCACTGTCCAAAGTCCACAGGAGTAGTCTGTCGTACTCTGGTTGAGGTTGTGGATCATTGGTTAAAGCCAATGTGGCGAGTGGAGTTTGTGGATCACGCCGGGGACCACGACGACCTTGTCTTCCGCCTCTGCCTCTGCCTCTGGAATCTGTTCCTCTGGGCTGGTATGTGACAGGAGCTGGAACTCGTTGGGGACAATCCCGGGTGGCATGTCCCACACGATCGCAGGTGTAGCATCTTGGCATCCTTGGAGCATAGGTCCTTCCTCGGAAGGGGCGTCTAGCTGGAGCTTTTGA